ACTCTGCTACTAGGTTATCAGGGCTCTGGGTCAGGGTTTTGGATCTGAACCCTAAGCCCTAAACCCTAAACCCTAAACCCTAAACCCTAAACCCCTAAACCCTAAACCCCTAAGCCCTAAACCCTAAGCTTGAAAGATGTGGGAGCCGAGGCCGTGGAGCCGGGCCGTAGCTGCGAGGTGATGTGCCGGGCGCCCTACGAAGGCAGCGGCACCACGGCGACCTGTGCCCCCGACAATATCGATCCCATGAGGCCGGGCCTCAAGCTCTATAGTATAGTATAGTATAGTATAGTATCTTATAGTATAGTATAGTATAGTATAGTATCTTATAGTATAGTATAGTATAGTATAGTATAGTATAGTATAGTATACTATACTATTGTATATGTGTGGAGTACAGACTATATAAGAAAGATGGTACTTTTTTTATCTATCTATCTATCTATCTATCTATCTATCTATCTATCTATCTAAACAGTGCAACGGTAAGTGCAGCGCGTGCAGCTGAGGAAGTTGGAATTCACTGCGCCAATCTGCCAAGCAGAATGCGATCCTTATCCACCTGGCTACATGCGGACAGCGGCAGGCCTGGCAACTGAGTTGCCAAATGCAATTCCACATCTTTGTGATGCAGCATGTGGTAAGCTTCACGATGAGGATTCAGCAACTCTCGCACTCATTGCAGGCTGGGGCTGTGCGCCGGGGTATAACGGCCTTGCACGCGCTGATCGAGCAGACTGTGGTGAGGTTGGGTTCCCGGGGTTTTACGGTGGGCGGACTGTCCCCTAAACCCGAAACCTTGAAAATCTTGAAACCAAAGAAAGATCGAGTCTCCGAAGGTGCTGCAGCTGTCGGGCTGCTTGCCGCTGCAGCCCTGCCTTCCTGCCCAGGTGCGAGTCTTCAGAAGTTTTGCCCACAGACAAAGCTTTGAGATCCCGAAAAGGCAGTATCGATGGTTTTGCCACCGCCCACTCACGTATACAGTAGCTCCTGAACTCAGATCAAGGTCCGACAGGCCGGCCCGAAATTTTCGCACCAAGCCTACAGTGACTTGTAGCCCTGGGAAGTGAGTCCCACGTTCCCTGCAAGTCCAGAGCTACCATTTTCCGGATGCTTCTGGTGCCTCGATGCGAGCGTATCGGGGCTGAGATGTCTCGTTTAGAGTCTTAGGACCTCTGCCAACATAAGGCTTAGTGGTCGATGTTTGTGCCCGAGTCGCTGCTCAAACAATTGCCAAGCATCTTCGAAAATGCAACAACCTCCCGGCAAATGTTCTCTAGAGGGTAGACATGGAAAGTAGTTGACGTTACATGTCACATATGTATAGCTGTTCATGAGGAAGGATGCGCGGGATACGCAGGCACAGGAACAGCAGCACCCATGAGTTGAAGTTTCTAATCTGAGAATACAGCAATCACGCTCGCCATACCTGCAACCGCATTGTCCTTGAAGGATCATCCTTGCCTTTTGGACACCTCTGACTGTGCCGCTGGGACAGCGTTTGGTGAGACAGCACCCTGTGTCTTTGATGCGACGGCAACTTCGGGGCTCAGGTCCGCGTTTTTGCCGGAGGCAGCTGCGTTGTGCGCTGCCCCGAAGGCGGAGCCTGCCCTGACTCCCTGACCCTGAGTTTCGGATTTAGGGTGTAGGGCGTAGTCTAGCGACCGTGAGTCGAACTAGAGTTTTCTTGCCGTGTGCCTGAAGGCGTCTACGAACCGGATTCGGCGGTTGCCATCTGTCCAGAGGGGAACACTGACCCCATGCAACCTTTGATCTTTGTCGCTCAGATGAACCGAGTCCCACTGTCTCGACGCTCTCGTTCTCGGCTGAGTCGTAGCCCGAGGACCTGAGTTGCAAGCCCAAGTGCATCGAGCCAGAGCCAGTACCGGTGGAGTACGAGAAGGATCCAGAGGAGGGCTGGGCGGCTTGGCTAGAAGTGGGACAGGGTCGCTTCACCGAAGACAGCGGCACCATGCGACTTCATACAATACAACGATCCCTGGCTACTATCTAAGGTCTGTGCCGAAGGTTTCGTCGGCAATGCATCCACCGAGTGTGAGGTGACCTATCCCCTTGAGTGGGTTCCCAACTGCACGGCTGTGCTCAATCTAACAGGCCGGGCAATGCAGTTGTGACAACAAGCTCCGACCGTGCGAAATGTGTGCGGTGAGTCCGATCTCGGTTGGCCTGTAATTTTCGCCCTTAACCTTAAGCACTGGACTGCAGTTTCACTCTTCACATTTCTGTGGTGAACTTCAGCCAGTTTACGGGAGTTCCCACGACGACACAGTGGAATTTGTGTTGCTCCAGGTTGCACCAAGCTGGAGCCTTGTGGGACACTCCTGGTGGAGGATGCAGAGATGTTCGATGCGTCGCAGTGCCAAGGCAAAGATCCCCCCGAACAGCCGTTTCTCCTTATATCAGTTTGAAGAGACCCTAAACCCTGAACCCACCAGTCAGAGCTCTACCGGGGCAGGAGCATGAATGAGTCTGCCGAAGACTGACATATTCGGTAGTGGTAGTTCCAGCAGTTGAGTATGAGGATGGCACTGGCATCTAACAGCCATGACCATGGAAGGTTTTGAAATAGGATTTCTAAGAGTAGCACTCGTTTCGTGACGCTCATGCTAGCAATGAACTAGTTGTAAGTTTTGAATGCTGGGAGCGAGGTGCGGCTCATCATTCGGAGGTCTTTGAGCTGTGGGGGATATCATCATTAGAAGAGTTGTCGGCTGGGTTACAGCAGCTCAGCGTTCGTGACTCCGAGAAGGAGGATGAAGCAAAAGAGCATGAGGATGATGAGGATGAGAAGCCCGAAGAGTGGGGCGTGGAGAGTGGGGCATGGAGTGCGAGGAGGAGGAGGAGGAGGAGGATGAAGTGCACCAGGAACAGGAGGGATCAACGTGGTGGTTGCGGTGATTTTGAGGATGAGGATGGTGATGGCAACGGTACTCTGATGACTCTTCCGATGACTGTTCTAACAGTGCTGCTGCTTTAAACCCTAAACCCTAAACCCTAAACCGTGGACTTTGGCAGGCCTGGAGCCGGGCCAATCCTGTGAGATTGTCTGCCGTCCGCCTTTCCACGGGGAAGCCCGCAGAGCTTTCTGTCCGGAGGACTGGGGAGTGCCGGTTTTTACTGTCACGCAGGAAGAACATAGGTAATATCTTTTAAATGTTTTTTAGATCAAGAAACTGCAGTCTTTCGTGGCATAGACTCTGGATCTGTGATGAGGACAACACAGACAACGAGAAGCCGCCCGAGATCGTGGGCGAGCCCAGCTGCCGATTGGCTTGTGATGCGGCCCCTGTGGGCTACGCCACCCGTCCAGAAAAAGGCTTATTGGGTAAAGCATCGGTTCCCGTCTTGCACTTCTTGCACTTCTTGCTGGCCTCGAAGGAGAAGCTGAAGACTGGGTGGCGCTGCGCTCCAGGTTTCGCAGGTAATGCTTCTGCTGGGTGCCAGCCGAGCTATAGGCTGGGTCCAGACCTGATTCCGCTGGAATTGGACTGCATGTGATTCCGAATGTGGAAGCTGTCATGTGAAGGTATGCAAGGTCTGATGCTTCTGTCTGTGACGGAGGTGCGGTGCGGAACTCCACCTCACTGGCTGCAAGCCCATTGTCCCGTGCCTCAGGCCGGACGTGTCTTATGATCAAATCATCTAAAAGGAGTCTACAAGGGTAGTAGAAGAAGTACTATGAGGGTACCAGAATGTAGGTAAGGTCCATGGGCCAGAAGGTAGCCCAGCGTGAACATGAGCTCATCTGCTCCAAGCCGGGGAGGCCACGCTTCGGCCCAGAGGAAATCTGCCGCTTCGAAGCCTCGGGGTGCCCCGAGCGAATGGCCCCAGGCTGGAAGGGAAGAGAGGAATTACAGAAGCCTAAAAAAGGGTGCAGCATCTACAGCAAGTCTCCATCTTCTGTCCGACGGTGTGCAGGCTCATTTTGTGAGATTCGTTGTCTTCTCCCCTATGCTGGCGGGGTGGGACTGGCTACGTGCCCGTGGGACAACACAGATCCACAAGGACGTGCAGAGAGACCTAGACTTCATGGACCATTCTCCCGTGCAGTGTCCGGGTGTGGACGTGGATGCTTCCGTTTGGCGATAAGGATTTCGTGCATCAGCAATAGCTTATGAGATGTTTAGAGTTTAGAGTCATTCGACACGTTTAGTTAGTTGCTGCTTAATCCACACTCAGGAGAAAGCGTCCAATAATGGAAGCTGATTGAAGCAATGCAGGATTTCGTGCATCAGCAATAGCTTATGAGATCTTTAGAGTTTAGAGTCATTCGACGCGTTTAGTTAGTTGCTGCTTAATCCACAATCAGGAATAAGGGTGCGTCCAATACAATGATCGAAGCAATGCCGGATTTCGTGCATCAGCAATAGCTCTGCATAGTGTAAATGCGGCTAGATGTCATATCGCTGCGTGAAGCTGTGTGTAGCAGCAGCAGTCGTAGCACTTCTGAAATCACTGTTTCCTTTGTTACATGTACAAAAAATGCTGATCTTATGAAAGTTACGTCGCGGTTCGGATATTCATTGTTTCAAGTATGCTCCCAGTAGATATTGATCGCAGCAAGCTAGCAGGGTTGTTTTATCAAGAAATTTCCCATGAAAAGCATGACAAGCATGCAATCATGTCAGGCAAGTTCCCTGCCTGCGTTTTTCAGCCACGGGAGCATCTAGAATTTGTAGTGGGGAGCATGAACCTGCTATTTCCTGATGGGTGGACATGCAGGTCAGCCACTCTCTCCTGCATCATCACTGGATGCTATTGCCAACTCTCACACCCCAGACGTGCTCTTCACTCTGACCGGACGATCCTCTGTGCAATTTGCATATGTCCTTCGGCGACCGAAAGCAAAGACAAACAACGAAAAAACACAACAACAGAACAATAACATACGTAGATAGGTAGAAAGATATATAGATAGATAGGTATGTACATGTCCGTCTGTTCGTCTGTCTGTGTCCCTCTCTCTCTCTCTCACTCTCTTGTGCTTGCATGCACGCCGTGGTAAGCAGGAGAAGCCACTTGGACGAGACCGCTGTGCAGCTTCTTCGAGTGCCCGGATCCTGAAGTGCACAGCCCCAACTACACGCAGGCAGGGGATTTTGGGGCCGAATCGCAACCTGGCCAACTCGTGGAGCTGTTCGTCTCGAGGATCCCGGATCTCCGTTGGGCTGGCGCTGCTCGGAGGGCATGAACGGCATCGCTGCAAAGTGGAGACCTCGGCTTTCGGAATCTCTCGGAAACTTACAGAGGGCTGTTGAAGAAAGATCATCTGAAGCGATTACAGCAGGAGAAACCTTGTCCTCAGGCGCTGCGAAAGTGCGCCTTCTGTACCGCCAGCAGATGAAGACTGGCCAGCCTGCGAAGTTCAGGACCTGCAATGACATCGCATGTTCAAGTCTTGCATGGCTCTGGCAGAGGATGTGCGGAGTGCAGCAACAGCTTGACTCTTGTGAGACGCAGCTTTCCTCTAGGATGGCTTTCTGTCCGGATGTGGCATCCCGCAGTCATGTGTGGCGCTGGAGGCCTTCGTACCTCCTGACCTGTGCCGAAAGTCCGACTGGTAGGTATTTTTTGGGCTTGCGAGTCAAGGCGGTGCCGTTACCGTCTGCTTAAAAGATCTTGGAAAGTGGACTTGCAGGCAATGGAGGTTTGGGACAGTTGCATTTTCGACAATGCTCACTGCGGTGAAATGGTGCCGAACAGCTTCTGTCCAGCCCTCGGTGTATGGCTTCTGTGCAATGTGTGGGTTGTTTCAGCGGGGTAGCCATGTTCTCGTTTTGCTCAGGCGAGGTGAGATGCCGAGCACCTTATGTTGGAGATGCCACGTTTGCAAGGCACGCGCGCAATCTCGGGTGAGCGTGGAATCCAGCACTGCTGCACCGAGGTGTCCCACTTTCAATATCAACCCGAATCAGCCAGTCGATTGGTCCCCTCCCGTTTGCGTCCTTGACACTTGGCTTTATCGTCCCAGGCTCCATGCTCGTCTGAATCTGTTTGAGACACCGAAGTCAGCATTGTGGAGGATTGCCCGATGCCAGATCCCATTCCGGTGGGATATGAGCTGGTTCGAGCGGGTGATCCTGGCACGGAGATCTTGGATGAATGGCGCTGTGCCCCCGGCTACGTAGGCCAAGCAGTATCCAGGCAAGGGGCCTGACTCACTGCCCTTAGCCGTTGTGCTTGAGCCGTTTCGTTTTCGTGTTCAGAGACACTGCAGGTGTATCTTCGACAATGAAACGGAGTGTGGCGTGGGACAGGTGCTGTCAGGGTGCCTGAAACTGGAACCATGCGTGCTTCCTTCCATGGTGCCTTCGGCAGCCTTGGAGGAACAGGTCTCCGCGTCCCTGGTCCTCGCGCGAACATCTTGTAAGCATTTTGCTCGCGAGCACCTTTGATATCCTTCTCCGCCTCGGATGACCCAGTCAACTTCGCGTGTCGCACGCACGCGATCGGATGCTCGAAGAGTTCTCGAGGAAACAGTGTCATCACCACTGCTCTCGCAATGTCCGCACAGACCTGGGGATCATACTTTGACCTGTTTGCTTCCTGCACGACTTCATTTGGGGCGCTGGCGACACATTGGTCGGAAACGAGGGTCATAGTTTCGTATCGAACTATAATCAGGAATCTTCGCATGCGCAGTTGCGACACCACTGTTTCTTCGAGATATCCGATTGCGCAATACACGGGACAGTTGGCATGTTTTGCTTTGTTCTGTACTTTCCCACATGCCAAGAAGATGCAGGCAGACTGTACTGACATAGTTCTGTAAGTGGATTCTTCAGTGGCGATGTCGCGTGCCACCCAGGCACATTGCAGCCTGAACTTCTCCGAGTGCCTGCAGCTGGGTCCGGGCGAGTCTTGCATGGTCACCTGCAAGGCTGGGCATGCCGTCTCGGTCCTGTCTGGCGTTCCTGAAATTAGAGTTGCCTGGGCTGGAAGTTGGGTGTCCTTGCAATCAAGAGATAGGCCGGTACTGTAACCATTATCAAAATTGCCGTTTTTTGTTGAATGCTCCATGCTGGGGGTCGCGAGGGGTCCAATGACTCATCTTGTACTGTAGCCAGATGCCACAATGCATTTTCCTGTCGTGCCGACCTCAGGCAAGTTATGCTGGCTTCGTCCGGCCTCTTATGGAGCATGAGGAGGTGCCAGCATCCAAAGCCCAATAGGTTTGGAGCTTTCGTGCGCTTGTTTTCTCGGCGTTTGGCACATCAAGTTATTGAGCCACGTGGCCTACTCATGTGAGCCAAGGAGGACGAGGACGAGAACTTCAGCAACTTCAGCAACGACAGCAATCGCAGTTTCGTCACCAACATGTCCAACGCAACAATTCCGTGGCCTCTGGAGCCCTCACTGGTGCCCAGCGATGGAGTCATGGGCTCATGCCCTGCTGGGAACACCATAGCAGGCCAAGGGCAAGTGTAGTTGTTTGGCCGTTCCGACATACTCCTACACCAAATCCTACGGACCTTCAACCCTAAACCCTGAGCCACCATTGTTCCAGTTGGCAGGACGGGAGTTCGACATGATGGAGCTGCTATGTGTTTTCGAAGACTGCATCGATCCTCAGCCCATTCCGGAACCTTTTGTCAAGCTGCAAGCCACCAACTCCAGCGAGGAATGGGTTTCCAATCGTCGCGTTCACGTTTCCTAGACACTTGGGGGTCTTTCTAACAAGGATCGGACCTGGGGTCGATAGGAGGGCCATCTCGAGAGTCGAAGTTTGTCGCCGCAAAATCAGGTCAAGCATGGAGTCCTGGAGGGAACAGGGAAACATAGTGCATCCCAAGCTTGGGCATCGAGAGCCGAAAGAAGTTCTTTGCTTGGGAGTGGGGTTGCACATGCACATCCACACTAGTGCCGGTTTCGACCAAACGTGCCAGTTCCAGGAGCCGTGTCATATCTAGAGAGAGAGTTCCAGATCATTCGGAAGTAGTTGCCAACCCGTGGTGAGAGAGCGCGGCTGTGTTGTTTCCATGGCTGTGTCGGCTGTTGCAGCTGCAATGCCTGGCAGGACAGCTGGCAATGTGCAGATGGCTTTGCTGGGAATGCCACGGCCACTTGCGTCATGCGGGAGGACTGTGTAGGCAGGTCAAGTTGTGTGGCACCGTTGACAGATTTTGACAGCAAACCCCTTGTGTGACCGAATGTGTTGCTTTGTCAGAGGCGAGTATGAGCTCTCCGAGTGCCGCCCTGTTGCTCCATGCGGTGCTCCAGTTGTCGACCTCTGCCGATTTGAGGCCGGCTGCCCTTAGTGGAGGCTATCCACATGCCTTGCTGAAGCTTCGCAAAGGTTCCCTCAGCCTGCGACTGCCCTAAGCCCAAAACCCAGAAAGCCCTGAAACCCGTGCTGGACCTCCCAATTTCACAACCCCTAAAGGGCCCTAAACCCTAAACCCGTAAACCCATCCTCAAACCCAACACCCCCAAAAGCATGTATCCTCATAGAAACCCTATCTAGATCCTTGTTAGAGCCTCCTGAAGTCTTTACCTCACCAGGCCGCCGTTTGTGATATGGCTCCAGGCTCCTCCTGCCCGCTGCTCGATGGTCACCGTTTTACGCGGTGTTTTCAGACTGTTGTTGTTGGGGGGGCTTTGGATCTAGAGGGTTAGGGTTGGGTGTTGGGGGTTTAGGATTTTAGGGTCTTCTTTGTTGTCGGCTTGACAGTTGAAGGTTCAGAGGGTTCGGCAACTTTGGGTTCAGCGTGCAGGGGTTGACCGAAAGTTGGAAGCTTCAACGTCCAGGACGATAGGAGTGTTCAAGAGAAGGTACACTGTTCAGCATACAGCAAGTGCATCGTCACATCATCCTAGAAGCTTGCAGGTTTACGGGAATGCACGGGTATGGTTTGGAACCCACGAGTGCCAGAATTCTTTCAACATTGTGGGCACCCTAAACCCTAAACCCTAAACCCTGTCAGGGGACTCTTACATGGGTGGTTGTCAAAATCCCATTTTTGGGCCCTTATTATAATACGGCATCTATTATTTAGGGTACCCCAAAAGGGACCCTAATTGTGACAACTCCCCACATGAGTATCCTCACCCTAAGCGACCAGCAAATTCCCAGGATCTCCTGCCGGGAGCCCACGCGAGGTGCAGAGAAGCTCGGGTTGCCGGCTCGCCAGAGTTTCCGCCAAACCCTGGAGATTTAGAACTTCAGGGTATAGGGGTTTGAGGTTTGGGGCCGTAGGTTTTAGGGATTCTAAACCCTGAACCCCCTGACCAGGTGCCCCTGGTATGGCGGTTTGTCCAGAGATGAACACGGAGCTGGGTGCACCTCCGGAGATCCCCATGCTGCAGAGAAAGTTCTGTAGGGTTGAGGCCGAGGGACTGTTGGGCTTCGGGCTTTGTAGCTTCGGGTTAGGGTTGAGGCAGAAACTTGCCGGCAAGTCTTGGGAGCGCCTACTCACAGCGCATCTGTGAAATCCCAAGGATACACCTCCCGGATTGCGAGTCCCCATGCATCTACCTGGAGGATGTTGAAGTCACGCGGCTCAAATGTCAGTCATGGCCACGTTGTTGGGGCCAAGTTCGCCTCCGTCGTCGAGGGCTATCTTGCCGTGCACTCTTCTGGCATGGGCGCTGCTTGTCAGGCTCCGACGGGCTTCGCGAGCTGTGAGGATGCCGGCACATGCCCGGGAGGTGAAAATGCCACAGGACTGGCACTTCAAGACGGCATCAGGGTTCCGAAACACGAGCTTGCTGCAGGCTTGGCACGTGCCGTTGTAGTCTCGCTTCGGAGGCTGGACGTGTGCCGCCGGCTATGGTGGCAATGCGACGACAACCTGCTTGATTGACGCGGAGCGCCCTGCCTGTGAAGTTTCATCGGCCGTAGCGTTGCTCCGGTCTGCTTGAGCTTGGTTTCTGTGTGTCAGAGAGTCCAAGGAATAATTGCACCGCCAGCTATGTTTTCAGCGGCTGCGGCCCACTGACCATCTGCGCGGGCATGCAGAATCCCGACCCCTGCAGGCAGCTACAGCCACTGATGCTTGCGGTATACCGTTCTTGTCCTGTCCCATTTGTGATGCAGGTACATACACAGTTGCATTCCTGGGCTACTGCCTGGCGAGCAGTGCGAGTTCCGCTGCAAGCCTCCATCCTTCCTGGGTGATCCGACAACTGGGACCTGCCCCATGGACAACACGGCACCGTGCCCAAACTGTGTCCGGGGCTTCGGGACTATCCTCGGTTCCATCGGGATGTCCAAGCCGAGGATCCTTCGCGTCCTCCTGTGGTGCCTGTGCTGCCAAGCTGCGAGCCACAGTGCACAGAGCCCTCAGAGCCACCGCAAGGCCTGTGAAAGAGTGTCTCAGGGTGGATGCCGAGTGATGCTTGCAGGATGTTCAGTTTGGGTTATGTCCTGCGTCTTGCCGAGATGGCAAACTTTGGAGCATGTGTTTTTTCGGCAGTTTCCTGGACTCTGCTTGGTCCCTCCGTGGATAAACTCTGTGCGACACCGCAGGGTACAACCGTTCTGGCGGCAACTGGACGTGTGCCGACGGCTACCTCGGCACGGCGGTGCCAAGTTGTGGCCCCGATCGGAACTGCGTGATGCGCTCCTTGGATTCCACCGGTCTTGAACGTCTCCTCGGAAGAGACTCCAGCTGGACGCATGTGCGATTCTGAGCCCGTTCAGGATTCACCCTGAGTGGCTGCGAGGAGAAGGTTGCTCGTTCGAAGCTGTCAGCCATGACCGCTGCATGAACTCTTCTGACGCTGGAGTCCATGCTTTCGTGGCTTTTCAAAGCTTTCAGCTGCATCTAGTCCGTGGCAGCATTCATGCCGAGACAATGGTAGAGTCGACAAGGCCTGCTGATAACTCGTAGGTGTTTATGACTTTATGACTACAGATATTCATATCGGTATTTTCATCAGCATTAGCTATGAGCAACTAGTACTGGTCTTACGACTTTTCTTGTTCTGTTTAGGGGTGCTTTGTTGAGGTGCCATGCTCTGCTCCAGCACTGCCCAGTGGCTGTGAGTATGTCGGGGCCCAAGAGTCTTGCCTCACTGCTGCCAAGCTCTATCACCAAGAGGGTCGCTGCTCATCGGCCCAGCACGGAGGAGCTCTCAGACCCGACACCCTAAATCCCTCAACCCGCGCCCAGCATGTTCAAGTAGCAAGCTCGGATCCTCATTGCCATGCCTGCCTTGTGCGAGTGTGTGAGTCGAAACCCGAAGCTCCTTAAACCCTTCGAGCCCGAAATCCTAAACCCAGCTCCAGGTTTCGAGTTGCCCCACCCAGCTGCTGCCCGGAGAGACCTGCCAAGTGGACTGCCAAGCTCCCTTCTATGGGAACTCCACAAATGCCAGCTGCTGGGAGCCCGGTCATCAGAGGTCGAGGGGAATCTGATGTTTTCTGTGTATGCATATATATATATATATATACATATACGTGTGCACACAGACATATGCATGTATACATATCGCACGTACATACATACATGCATAGATACACACACCTATGTGTAGGTAGGTAGGTAGGTATGTATGCAGGTATGTACTTATGTATGTATGTATGT